GGCCAGGCTGGGGATTCGAACCCGCCACCTTAGGTGTATGTGGCTGGCGCCTTAGCCGCTTGAGCCACAGGCGCCGAGCCCCTTTAAAAACTTTTAATGTATTTTATTTTATTACTTAATCTCTGAACCTCAATTTCATCTTCTGTAAACTAGGAATAAGCCCTCCTTCCTGAATTGTGTAGAAGATCAGTAATAAAATATGTAATGCCTTTACAGTTAGCCCCCATATGCAGGGATCCACGTCTGTGGATTCAATCAACCTCGATGGAAAGTATATTTAAAAAGTGTGGGGGGGCGGTTACATCTATACTTAACATACATATACAGAGTTTTTTGTTTCTTGTCATTATTATCTAAACAATACTAAACCTTATACAACTATTTACATAAAAATGCATTAGATATTGTACAAAATCTAGAGATGATTTAAAGTATATGGTAGGGGAGCCAGGAACTGGTAACTCTTGCCTATAATTCCAGCAGCTCAGGAGGGCTGACGTTCCTGAGATTACTCCACGCCAACCGTTCAAACCCAGCCTGGGTAACATAGCAAGATTCTATCTCTAATAAAATGAAAAGAACATTAGCTGGGCATGGTGGCATACATCTGTGGTCTCAACTACTTAGAAGGCTGAAGCAGGAGGGTTACTTAAGCATAGGAGTTAAGGGCTGCAGTGAGCTACGATCACACCACTGCACTCCAGCCTGGACAATAAAGTGAGACTATCTCTAAAAAATATAAATAAATGACCAAAGTATATGGAAAGCTGTACAGAGGTTATATGCAATCAGTATACCACTTTATATCAGGGACTTGAGCATCCGTGGATCTTAGTATCTGAGGGAGGTCCTGGAACCAATCGCCCATAGATACTGAGGGATAACTGTAAACAGTATGTACAATACAGTAAGTGTTAAATAAATACCAAAAATAATTAGTATTAAATTCTTGTACAAACAAGAATGAAAGCTGAAAATAATAACCATCAGGCTCCCTTGAGACATACTTTTTCACTTAAATGAAATGGAAAACCTAAAATTCAGACCATTCTAGCTACACGCAGAGATACCAGGCTTCCCGGCCAACACAACAGGGCCTATCCAAAGAACAGAGGATACAAGCTGGGTCATCCATGTCAGGTTCAGCTGTGTCGAAAAATGGGTGGGTGCTCAGAAGCTCTGGCACCAAGGGAAGCACCAGGGTTGGATGCCGACTACCCAGAAACTTCAAACACCTGGAACAAACAAGCAAGAACCCATTTCAGTAAATTAGTAAGTCCTTAAAAAGTACTAATAACTGGAATCAGGAAATACGATTTGGATTTGGAAATTCTCAACCACATACTTTTGCTAACTCTGTGATGTCAGACACCTCATCTGAAGTAAATTCGGTTAATTTATCTAAAAAAACATTGGTTACTGTGAAGATAAAAGAGTTGGTTATTTAACAAACAGTGATTTTCCTCTTTTTTTGATACCTGGGCGCAGGTATCAGGCAGGCATCAAAGTGCTCACAGAAGGCAGGCTTAGTCCAAAGGCTGAACCACTGGCCTCAAGCAATCTTCTCTCCTTTGCCTCCCAAAATGTTAGGATTATAGGCTTAAGACTGCGCCTAGCCTTTCCTGGTAATTGTAAATAAAGCCACTATTCACTGGAAAAAGTGAAAAAAAAATTAGAATAGGTAACTTCAAAATTTTGACCCACTCTGCAGTTAAATAGGTCTTTGTTCATACTTGTCAAACAAAGAGGTCTTACGTAAATATTCTGTGTGGACAAAATAAATAACTACACATCTTGTTGTTATTATTATTGTTATTTTAGAGACAGGGTGTCACTTTGTCACCCCTTGGTAGAGTGCCGTGGCGTCACAGCTCACAGCAACCTCCAGCTCTTGGGCTTAGGCGATTCTCTTGCCTCAGCCTTCCGAGTAGCTGGGACCACAGGCACCCGCCACAATGCCCAGCTATTTTTTGTTGCAGTTTGGCCAGGGCCAGGTTCGAACCCACCACCCTCAGTATATGAGGCCCATGTCCTACCCACTTAGCCAAAGGCACCGCCCTATTTTTTTTTTTATATATTTTACTTTTTTGCGTTTGTTTTACTTTCATTTGTTTATTTAAGTTTTTATGGGTAGATAAGAGTTGTACATATTTAGGGGGTACATGTGTTATTTTAATACAAGCATACAATGTGTAATGAGCAAATCAGGGTACTTGGGATATCCATCACCATGAACAGTCACCATTTCTTTGTGTTGGGAACTATACATCTTATTTTAATGCTAGAAGAATGTTCTGTCAAACATTCTAATAATTCTTTTCATCAAACAAAACTAATTATCCCTTCTGTGTCTCCACAGAACTACAGTTACAGATACAGGTGTTTATCTCTTACGGTCACCACATCCCAAATGATTGAGAGCTCCTTGGAGACAATCAATAAATGTACATGGAATAGAGCCGTAGAAACATAAAGAAACAGCAAAATAAAAAATCAGATATCAAAAGTGTTACCTAGAGTAAGACTCCCTTGGTATTTTCAGTTGTTAATATATTTCCCAACTACCTTGGATTTAACCCACAGTTTTTCTCCTAGTGACAAGTTTTGTGTTTTTTGGGTTTGTTTTTGAGACAGAGTCTCACTTTGTCACCCTCGGTAGAGTGCAAACCTCAAACTCTCGGACTCAACCAATTTGCTTGCCTCAGCCTCCAGAATAGCTGGGATAAGCGCCCGCCACAACAGTCAGCTATTTTTAGAGATGGAGTCTCACTCTGGCTGAAGCTGGTCTTGAACCTGTGAGCTCAGGCAATGCATCTGCCTCAGCCTCCCAGAGTGCTAGGATTACAGGTTTGAGCCACCACACCCAGCTAGTGACAATTTTTTTTGAAAAATCAATAAACTATACACAGTTGCAGTGGTCTCATCACACAGCTCATTAACCAAGTAGATCACACATTTTATATTACATGTATGCAAAGATTCTTCAAAATGAGATTCATGATAGTGCTAACAGCCTGATGGTAGTTAGTAAAGCTAGAAATAACTAAGTGGAAAAATGATTATGATTTCCCATCTGTAGACCAAGTGCTAGACCTACCTCTAATCTCTATGATGATGGTTCTGATCCTTACAAAAACGCAAAATAGACAAAGGACTGATTAACATTAATAGGAGAAAGAGAAAATCGAATTGACTCATCCCTAACACCTACCATAGGGCTTAATGCACAGCCAGCATACAGCAGATATGTAAAATTTGCTGAGTATAGCAAAAGGCACCTAAGATTTGCTAGGATGGACAAATTAATAAATAATCTAACATGTGATATTCAGTTTAGGAATCAGACAGCTGAGAGTCTGATTAAACTGAATTGAGTTTCAATATTAAAAGCAAAATTGAGGGCTATACCCTTAACCTATGATGGAGCCACCAAATAACGTCAGCATTGTACATTTACCACATTATGGGACTCAGTAAGTAAGAAAACGGGCAAAAAAGTCCTTACTTCCATATGGAGTCCCTATCAGTAGGGTACTTGGTTAAATTTTTCAGCAGTTCCACCAATGCAAGATGAATCCCTTCTTTGGTTGAAACATTAGTACAGCATAAAAGTTCATGAAGAGCCTCTCTAATATCTCTGGATGAATCCTTTAAAAAAAAAAATAGGTAACAATATAATAGTAGTCACTGTTGGTTAGCAGACCCAGCTTCCATCTACTATCCCCTTCTACCTAACCACCATCCCGTCAATGATGGCCATGCAACAAAGAATGTGGAGGTGTGCCAGCAAAAATTCCTGAAAAAACTTTTGTGTTATTGATAAAGGACCAGATACAGTAACCCTGCCCCCTTTGCTCTTTACCCTTCCTTCTCCTTCCTGTCTGGAACTCAGTCATGATGCTAAAGGTACATGAGCCTTCTAGCAACTTTGAAAAAGGACAGGCTAAGAACAGAGGCAAAGGGAGAGAGACAGGGGAACAGCTGGTTGACATAACATTTATCAATTAAGTTTGCTGTCTTACGTGGGCACTGTTTGTATGCCCCAAAACAATTACAATAGTAACATGAAAGATCACAGATCACCATAACAGACATCATAATGAAAAAGTCTGAAATACTGCAGAAATTACCCAAATGTAGTAGAGATACAAAGTGAGCACATCCTATTGGAAAAATGGCATCGATAGCCTAGACCAACCTGGGCTTGCAGAAAACCTGTCACTTTATAAAAACAACATCTGCAAAGCACAATAAAGAAAAGGTACACCTGTACACACTAACAAAGGAAAAAGGAAAGGAGTCAATCTATCTGACACAAACGTCAAGAAGACTACAAGAATAAGAAATGCTGAAAGAGGCAAACTGAAACATCTATTCTCCATAAAATCTGGCAATGGTTTCCCATAATGCAAATCAAAACATCTTATAAAGGCCTACAATACTTTTGTTTGTTTGTTTGTTTTGTTTTGGGACAGGGTCTCACTTTGTTGCCCTGGGTAGAGTCCATGGCATCATAGCTCATAGCAACCTAAAACTCTTGGGCTTAAGTGATCCTTCTGTCTCAACCTCCCAAGTAGCTGGGACTACAGGCACCCACCATAATACCTGGCTATTTTTGGCGACACAGTCTGACTCTTGCCCAGGCTGGTCTCCAACTCCTGTGCTCAGGAGATCCACCTGCTTCATCTCCCAGAGTGCGAGAATCACCCTGCCCTGCCAAGGTCTACAATGCTTTCTACCTGTCCCCTATCCATCTCTCAGATCCTCATCTCACACCAGATTTCCACTTCCTTACTATGTTCCACTTAACTGTCCTCTTACTCTCTGCTCTGCAGACACACCGAAGCACGTCTGTGCCCTACAGAGCCTTTCCACTAGCTGCTGCCTCTACCTGCAGTTCTTTCTTCCAATCATACATCTGGCTTCTTTTTATCACTCAAGAGTCAACTTAAATATCATCTCAGAAAGGCATTACTAACCACTTAATTTATAGTGCAATTCCCTACTCCTCCATTATATCGTTTATCTTCTACATAAAGATTTATCATGATCTGAAATCATTTTTATTCCACCTTTCTGTAGACTGTAAGTTTCATGAGAGCAAGGATCTTATCTTTCGTCACCATTATATTTCCACTACACAAACAGTACTTGTTGAATAAATAAATGAATTTGTCTAGGCAGGGTAGTATCTTAACATAGCAAAAGAAAAAAGAAAAGCAAATTCCAGCTGGAAGTGTCAGCTAGCTCAGGTTCAAAGCAATGAAGTAGAATGACACAGTGAGTAACAGAGTAAAGTTTAGAGCAGCGGGTGGTTCCCAACCTGTGGGTTGTAACCACTTTGTAACAATGAAAATACATCCCGCATATCAGATATTTATATTACAATTCATAACAGTAGCAAAATTACAGTTATGAAGTAGCAACAAAAATAATTTTATGGTTGGGGGTCACCACATGAGGAACTGTATTAAGGGGTTGCGGCATTAGGAGGCATTAGAAGGTTGAGAACCACTGGTTTAGAGACAGCTAAGTTTATGTAAGTCTAAATTCTTAAAACAGAATTACCAGTAAAGAAAGATACAAATTATATACCAAAGTATTCACAAATAAGCATACCTATGGCTCTGTCAACAATTCTGTACATTGAAACGTAGCTTGGGACATAGTTCAACTATTCAGCAAACATTTCCTGAGTTCCTGATTGTGCCAGACACTGCAAAGTGTTAGGAATAAAAAACTGAAACAGTCAGGATCCCTACCCCCTTGAAAAGATGAATCTTGTGAGAGAATTATTGAAAAGTCCTAGAGAAGTATATGCAGGGTACTGTGAGAATACAGAGGTGTAGCTGTTAGTCCACCCAGGGCCTGAGGCAGCAGTCAGGAAAGGCTTCCCAGATAGATATGTTCCCTAACGCCGAATGTGGGAACAAGCAGACATCTGCCTGGTGAGAGTGGCAGTTTGCGGGTAGAGGGTAAAAAACTGCAGTGAAGGCAAAATGGTGAAGAAAAAAGCATGAAGTGTTGGAAGTGACGACAACGTGAAGTTCAAAGTGAGGAGCAGTGGAAAAGACAACCAAAAAGGAAAGGAGTGGCTAGATGATCTTAACAGAAGTGCTAAGCAACTAAAAGAATGGTAAGGACCTTCAAAACTGAAGCACCCATCTGTTTCCTAAAGTATATAGCAGAAATCTGCAAGAAATACACTAATAACTAAGCATCAAATTACCATCCCTTTCACATCTAAACCCTATCTCCCAGATATCTGCACGAGAATGTTTATTGCAGCCCAATTCATAATCGCGAAGTCATGGAAGAAGCCCAAGTACCCATCAACCCATGAATGGATTAATAAATTGTGGTATATGTACACCATGGAATATTATGCAGCCTTAAAAAAGGCTTCATCTGTTTCATGTTTACATGGATGGAGCTGGAACATATTCTTCTTAGCAAAGTATTTCAAGAATGGAAGAAAAAGTATCCAAAGTACTCAGCCCTACTATGAAACCAATTTATAACCACCCACACTTCCATATGAAAGCTATAACTCAACTATAGCCCAAGATGAAGGGGAAAGAGGAGAGAGGAGAGGGAGGAGAGAGAGGAGAGAGAGGGGAGAGGAGGGAAGGGGGCAGGATGAGTGGAGGAAGGGTAATTGGTGGGATCATACCTATGGTGCATTTTACAAGGTTAAATGTTAAATCTACTGAAGGTAGACTATAAATATCTTAACACAAACTAAGAAAATGCAGTGAAGGCTATGTTAACCAGTTTGATGGAAGTATTTCAAATTGTATATAAAACCAACCCCATAATTGCATTAATGTACACAGCTATGGTTTAATAAAAAAAGAAAGAAAAAGAAACCCTATCTCCCCCAAATGGAAAACAGAGGTCAAATCTCATTTATAAATACTCTGAAAAACTTCAGTATTTGCAAATAAAATCCAAATACTTTAGAAAAACAATTCAAGAACCACAGAGATGTATAGCCTAGAAACCAAATCTGTGTTCTATCCCGGCACAGCCACTAACTAGCTCAAGATGACTTTTTCTCCATAAAACTATAGATTTGAATGAATAGATCCTGAAGAGCACCCTCCCCCATCCACCTGGTATAACAGCCTGATCTAATAATAATGATTAGTAGAAGAAAGAAACCAAATCATACTTCTGTTTAATAGTTTCCTCCATCTTGGGGAAGGAGTGTGTTGGGAAGCCAGAATTGTGTTGCCTGAAGCACTGTTGTATCATCAATACCTCCCATAATGCCTGATTTTAAAAGGAGAGGGGCACTCAGCAGATATCTGATGAAGAAATGGGTAATATACTGCAAACACACCTCTAGCACAGCCAGGACAGTGTCGAGCTGGTCTTCTCGGAGGGTGATATTGTTAGAGATTTTTCTCATGGCATGTATGGACTGCAGACGTACTTCCTCAATTTCATCATTAAACATGTCAACCAGGAAATCAAGGCACTTCTCAGCAAAAGAGGGTGAAGACTGGGCCAGCATGCAGAGAGCCTCCACAGCAGCAATACGGACCTCTAGAGAAAAGGGGACAAATAAAAGTGCACATGAGTGTACACAGTGGCACACACCTGCAGGCCCAACTACTCGGGAGGCTGAGGCAGGAGGATCACTTAAACCCAGAAGTTTGAGGCCAGCCTGGGCAACATATCAAGATCCTAGCTCTTATTAAAAAATTTGTAAAGAAAAAAATTGCATATGAAATTAAGAACCATGGGAAAAATCCAAGATGGATCCTTCTCCTTTACACTGTCTTTCATTCTCTAATCATTTCACTCTACAAACTCTCCCTGGGAGATTTCCATGCCTATAGTTTTAGATACTATCTTCTCATTGACCTAAGAACATGGAGTTTGGTGTCACAAGAACAAAAGATTAAGTCTGATTCCACATACATGGGATCAAGTCACATGTATCTCTACAGAAAGTGAATTTCTTGAAAACTAAGTTGTCTTATCTCGATATTCTGACATTTTTTAAAAGTCAGTTATTAAATATTATCATTATTAAGACTAAATATAATTATCATTTTAGAGATAAGATTCAGCAAAGCAAATTATTTTGCCTCAAAGTTAATGAGGGCAAAAATAAGACTAGTACCTAGGGCTAATTAAGTCTAGGCTAGCATCATATGGTAGTTATAAGGACACGCTTTGGAACGATACAGGTCTCAGAACAAATTACAGAGAGTGATCCTTCAACTAATTTGGATCGTGATCATGAATAAGCAACTTTACTTCCTAGCACCTCAGTTTTTTTACCTGTTAAATATGAGATAATATCCATTTCCTCACAGAGTTGTTAGGACTAAATAAGATAATGCAGGTAAAGCACACAGCACACTGCCTGGCATATCTTAAAAAGCTCAGTTAGCATCAGCAAGGGCATACGTATGGGTTCTGCAAGTACCTTGAAAACTGAGGCACATCTTTCACCCCTTTGCCTGCTCAGAACATGCAACGATATAACCACTGTACCCAGGAAGCCCTTCATTCATTGACCAATAAATGCTTCCTGAATACCTGCTGTATGCCAGGCCCTGTACGAAGTACTAGGATACAGACATGAGAAGTGAGTAAGACAGAGACAATGTTCACATGGTTGTTTTATTCTAGTGGTTCCCAAATGGTTCTATAACAAAAGTACAGTTTCAAAACAAGACAATAAAACCGAAAGCTGTAGTTAACACTCACAAATGCAATCTGTTCCACGTATAAGAGAGGCCTTACAGACACATTAAAAGTAGAATTACCCCCATTAAAGAGATAATTTTCATATTCCCTGGTAGTTACAAATTCTTCCTTTTCATCAGAAGGGAAGTATTCACTTCACATTCACAATAATATTATTTTTCAGATATGGGGTCTTGCTATACATATGCATATTGCCCAGACTGGTCTCAAACTCTGGCCTCAAGAGATCCTCATGCCTCAGTCACTTGAGTAGCTGTGATTACAGGTGCACGCTACCATACTTAGCTCACTTAATAATAATATAAACATGGAATTGCTAATAATCATAAAGTAAGCCAGAGATGAACCCAAACATGTTAACCGCTGACTTCTTGTCCCGGGATTTTATCCATTACACTACACTGACTCACGCACGATCTTTCCAAGTGCATCAAGGGAATCAGGAGCGGAACTTCTGATGAGCATAAGATAATGAGTATGACCTGAGCTGATGTAATTCCACGCAGAAGCAAAGAAATTTGGTATTTAACTGTAGCCATGCTATAGGCAAGTAAATTTACATTTTCCATCAAACTTTTTGGAATGTTTAAAATAAGTCACAGACTCAGTAAGGATCCAGGGCAGAGAATCTGCTGTACTAGGTGGGAAAAAAAAGACTAATCCTCAGCATCTGAAAATGTATAATGAGATCTGACTTAGCTACATACTAGCTTTGTACTTAGTATTGAAGATACAAAGATGAACAAGAATAAGACTGTTTCCCAATGGTTACAAACAAGAATAGTTAACTGTATTACAGAGGGAGGAGCGTTCCTATGGAAAAGCACCGGGGATGTAAGAAAATGCGCGAGAGGCGTATAGCCCCAGCGATGGGATCAGAGTTGGCTTTCTGGAACAAACGACCCCCAAAACAATACCTGAAGGAGCTGCTAAACCAAAAGAAAGAAAAAGACCTTTCTAGGCAGAGGAATTGCATATACAAAATCCTAATAGGTAAGGAGACCATGGATGAATTAGAAGACTAGAAGTGTGTCAGGTACACTAGAGTCTACAGCCAATGAAACAACGCCTTGTGTCATTCAAAGCAATGTGCCCCCAAAGTCCAAATTTACCCAGAATTTTATAATACGATAAAATAAGAATGCTGCCATATCTGATACTGGTTATGGTCTACTCACTTTCCAAACTCAATTTAATTAAATGTAGTGACAAATTGAAAACTGTATAATTACACCACATAAACATTAAACCGTATATTTTATCTTCTGATAAAAAACTATCTTTCAAAAATAATATTCTTGCTCTTCTAAGAAGCTCTATCCTGAGACAAATTCTTTATTTTGAGACACAGTCTCACTTTGTCACCCTCAATAGAGTGCTATGACATCATAGCTCACAGCAATCTCAAATTCCTGGACTGAAGTGACCCTCTTACTTCAGTACTTCAGCCTCCTGAGAATCTGGGACCACAGGTGCCTGCTATTCTCACAAAAATATCTTTAAAAAATGAAGGTAAAATAAAGTTTTTATCAGTCATATGAAGGCTTTACAGTCAAGACTAGATTTAAACCTTGCTTCTGTCTCTTACTGTCAAAGTGATCAATACCAAGTTATTGCTGTTAATATTAATTTTTTTTTTTGAGACAAAAGTCTCATTATGTTGCCCTCAGTGGAGTGCTGTGGTGTCACAACTCACAGCAACCTCAAACTCTTGGGCTTAAGCAATTCTCTGGCCTGTCTCCCAAGTAGCTAGACTACAGACACCTGCTACAACACCCAGATATTTTTTGTTGCAGTTGTCATTGCTGGTTAGCTGCCCAGGCCAGGTTCAAACCTGCCACCCTTGGTGTATGTGGCTTGCACTGTAAATACTGTGCTATGGGCGCAGAGCCATGAATATCAATTTTTAACTGCCATATTCAGTGCTTACTACGAATAGGTCATGTATTGTACCTAGTGCTTTACACATATATAAACTCATTTAATTCTTACAACAGTAATTTTTATCACCATTTTGTGAAAGTTCTGGAATCTGAATATAAATTAGCTCAGCCCAAAGTCCATGCTTTTAACAACTGTATTATACATATTACCTGGGTCTCAGCCTCTTCTGTTTGTAAAATAAAAATCACAAGTACTTGACAGAGTGACTGTGAAGACTAACAAGACAATGCATATAAATGCATCACCCAGTACAATGTGTGACACACTGCACTCACTCAATGAAAGAGAGCGATTATTGTTATTATGCAGTCATACATACCATACATCTCGTCTTCCAATCCATGAACAAAAGCTCCACAAGCTCCTGACTCAATCAAGTTCACAGCCCCAGTATCTACTTCTTCCTTGGGAGCATCGTCTCCCCACTTCCTGCCGCTGGAAAACTCCCCTGAACTGTAAAGTTCCTTGGCACGCTCATGTGCGGTGCGTTTCCTCTGGAGAGAACAACAATTACCAATTGCAGGAGGTTCATGAAGGGACGCTAAGGTGCACCCTGAGAACATGGGAAGGTCGGAACTAAAACTGCTTTCTGAGAGTTACACTTAAAAAAAAATTTACTCAGTAGTTTAGATCAGACAAATGCAAATTCAATTCCAAAGTGAGACCTAAGGCTCACGGGCTACCACAGCTGAGTAACCTAATTAAAGAGGATAAAGATAGCTGAAGAGTGTGTTGATCAGACAGGTGGGTTAGCTTGCCATGGCAACAGCATAGAAAAAGGAGAGCCAGAGAAGCAAGAAATGGCAGTGTCCCTCCAAACAATGTCTTGGGAAAACAATATACTGATTCTAGAAAACAACTGTTTTCAATCCCAGTAAAAGTAATTCTCTATTTAGCAACACTGTGATCTGTTTGAGCAACAGTGTGCCATCAGATAATCTGGTGAATTCACTTTCCATACAGATTGGCTAAGAAAGAATATACTGGTCGGCAAAAGTAAATATCCAGTCCGCTTGACAGTTATGCTACTCATAGCACTCTGATTTATATCAACACATCAACTTCTCATGAACCTTCGTAGTGAGTCTATAACCTCATGGCTGATCATCTCAGAGACAATGATGAGATAAGCACCTGAGCCTGCAAGCCTGTGGGTCAGGTCCAACATTAAAGCTTGCACCTTGTGACGTGTTGTAGAAACTCTTGCCATTACCCACCCCTCCCCCATTCACCATGAGCATTTTCTTCTACCACATCACACACAAAGAACACTTAAAATCAAACACTAACCTCCAATGGAGGCAATGCCCTGCAGGAAAGAATGTGGTAATGTTTCATAAAGCAGAGATGCAACTCCATAACTACTCCTAAGAATTTATCTTATGAATTAACTCCAAAAAAAGAAAAGCACTAATATACAATAAGATGACATTATTTATGTGATTTATACTGGTGGAAAAATCAAAAGAATCTAAATGTCTAATATACTGAAAGGGCTAAAAAATTATGGCACATCTACTTTATAGAATATTATGTAATCTGTAAAAACACTAAGAATGAAGTTGCATCATGAAAAAAATGCACATAGCTGGGCAAGGTGGCTCATGCCTGTAATCCCAACACTCTGGGAGGCGAGGCAGGCAGATTGCCTGAGCTCATGAGTTCAAGACCAGCCTGAACAAGAGTGGTACCCTGCCTCTAAAAGTAGCCGGGCGTTGTGGCAGGCACCTGTAGTCTCAGCTACTCAGGAGACTGAGGCAAGAGACTCACTTGAGCCCAGGAGTCTGAGGTTGTTGTGAGCTATGATGCCATGGTACTCTACTGGGGGTGACAAAATGAGACTCTGTCTCAAAAAAAAATAAAAAGCACATGATATAGTATTGGCTTCCGTAGCACAATGGTTACAGCACCAGCCACATACACCAAGGGTGGTGGGTTCAAACCTGGTCCTGGCCTACTGGATAGCAATGACAACTGCAACAAAAAATAGTTGGGCATTGTGATGAGCGCCTATAGTCCCAGCTGTTTGGGAGGCTGAGACAGGAGAATCACTTAATAAAACAAACAAAAAAATACCACATGATATAGTAGTAAATGTAACAAGTGGTCTACAAAACTATCTACATACAATAATTCAATGTTTAAAACATACCTAAGAAAAGGAGCTGGGAGAAATATACAAAATGACCAAAGGCATTGCATTAGGGAAGTGGGAATATGAGTAAATTACTTCCCCTTTTCCTCTATCAAAAATTTCATAACTCTTTATTATCACTTTTATAATTAAAAAATTGAAGTACTGACAATAAACGTACATATTATTTTCTCAGACTCGCACTCAGTCCTGCCAATCATGTTAGAAAACCATCCCGGGCTAAGCTTAAGGACATTCCATAAGAGGCATTCTGTTAGTGTTTGGAGATCACTCTCCCATGGGGTGAGAAGAGTCATCCTAGAATGTCATTCCATTTCACAAAAAGAGAACAGACCTTTGTAGTTTCTAACAAACAAAAAGTTAATCTGTCCTCTTCTTTGTAAAACACAACCTGAACAAACTATTTCTTTAAAATTTCATTTAAATTAAAATGTAATCTAGTCACCCTACATTAATTTAACAAATGCACAAGCTGCTAAATTAAAACATAACTCAACATATAGCCACACTGATACTGGTTACAGAAACCCATTAAAACAACAAAGAATTCAAGTTACCCTCAGATCTGACATCAGCTTCTTGTCAAGGGTCTGCTCCAAGAAATGAGAACTGACTTGCTCCATAGAGCCCTAAAAAAGAAAGAATCCAGAGCACTTTAAACAACTCTTCTGATTTAAACATTATCTTAAAATTCAAAGTTTGCAGCTGTAGCAGCCCATATAGCCTATGGCTAGGAGGAGGGAGTTATAAGTAACACCTGTATAGCTCAATAATGGAACACCTTGGTGAAAAGGGCATGGGGAGGGATTTAGCTCTTGTAACAAGCATGAGAGAACTCACAAGGTGAGAGCATTGGTGAATTGGCATTCTCTACACCTGTGGTGTTGAGCGGCACCAGATCAGCCTTATATTAGGCAGGGGGAGAAGGCAGTCAGGAATGAGCTCATTCTATTACAGATCGCTCACTGTGACTCTGTTGCTTCTCCTGCCTACAGAATGCCAGCATGGCATCTTTCTGCTGAAGATCACTAAGTTCTGCTAAAGACTAAGATCTATCTTTCTAAGAAGACTGCTTAGTCTCAAAGACTCTCTCTCCCCCCACCTCTGCTAAAGTAAATAGCCCTCAGGCACCTAAGAGCAATTGTTCCTGAGCAAGGTAGCTTAGCCTTCTGCTTCCAGAACCCAGATAAGCCAGGGCAGACCAACCAGTTCCGGGCCCTGATAAGTGGCATTCATGAACGTGCAGCCAACTTAATTGAATAAGGACAACATTATTGAGTGGCACCTGTGGCTCAGTGGGGAGGGTGTGGGCCCCATATACAGAGGGTGGCAGGTTCGAACCCGGCCCCAGCCAAACTGCAACAAAAAAATAGCCAGGCATTGTGTCAGTGCCTGTAGTCCCAGCTACTCAGGAGGCTGAGGCAAGAGAATTGCTTAAGCCCAAGAGCTGGAGGTTGCTGTGAGCTGTGACACCACAGTACTCTACCGAGGGCGATAAAGTGAGACTGTCTCTAAAAAAAAAAAAAATAATAAATTAAAAAAAAGACAACATTATTCATGATACTAAAGATGCCTATGGGTTCTGAATCATCGGGAAAATAACAAAAATACAGCAGCAGCTAACACCTAAATAGAGCTTACTATTTGTCACGCACTATTCTAAGAGCTTTATACATATATTAGCTCATTTAATCCTTACTATAGCCCTACAAAGTAAAAACTATTGTTAGTCTCATTCCACATATGGGGAAAAGAAGATATAAAAAGATTAAGTACACATTCAAAGTCACAAACAGAATCAATTCCAGAGCTGTGATATTATGCCCAGGTTCCAGAATCCTCTATACTTTAACCACTTCTCTCCACACCTGTTTATTCCATGCTTCCATTCATCTGTTCATTTACTCACACATTCAATAAAACAAATACTGCCAGGTATAATGGCTCATGCCTGTAATACTAACACTTTGGGAGGCTGAGGCAGGAGGGTAGCTTGAAGGCAAGTTTGAGATCAGCCTGGGCAACATAATAAGACCACGTCTCTACAAATTATTTTTAAAATTAGCTACGTGTGGTGGCATAAGCCTGTAGTCCCAGATAATTGGGAGGCTGAAGCAGAAGGATCATTTCAGCCCAGGAGTTTGAGGTTGCAGTGAGCTATGATGATACCACTGCAGACAACAGAGCCAGGCCCTACCTCAAAAATTAAACAAACAAACAAACAAATAAATAAATAAATGCAAATATTTATTTAGCAACCATTCAGTTATATGCCTGCAGTCAGCAGAACAAGAATACAAAAATAAAAAGATAGCAACTCTACACTCAATGATGTCACAGACTTCTGAGGGAAACTGATAAGCACAGACATAACTGCAATGTGTTATGAAATATCAACACTATAGTACACATCTATAAAGGATGCTATGCAAGTGAAGAGAACAAGCAGAATAGGGTAGAGGCAGAGAGAAGTAGGTTTGGGGAATGGGAAATCATAGCTAAATGATGTAAGAGAGAATGCAAGGAAAACATTAAGTGGTTTTAGGGATGGAACCTAGGATGGGGGTGCTGAGACAGGACAGACAGAACCATAGAGGGCCTTATTTGCCATGGTAAGGCATTTGTCTTATGAATAATAATTGGATGATCTATTAAACAGTGAGTTAAACTGTATAAAATATTTTACCTATAGTTTTCACATTTTCTCCTCCTAATAATCCCTTAAAGAACGTACCTTTTCATGTCATTGTTTAGATAAAAATTGAGGCTAAAATTAAGTAACTTGCTCATTTCAAGTTAGGAAGAACATAGATTTGTATTTCATAAAGGCCATCTACAACATTGGAAAAGGAAGAAAATAATAGAATTCACGGAAAAATAACAAAATAAAAGCTAAAAAATATTCAAAAGATCAACAAAATCAAATACCTTTCCTTTAAAAGATAAAATTAAAACTTTAGCTAGACTAATAAAAGAGAAGATTAAAATAAATAAAATCAGAGATGAAAAAGGAAACAGTACAACTGATACCCCTGAAATACAACCATAAGAAACTATTATGTTACCACAGATACCACCAAAAAACTGTGAAAGCTAATAAATGAATTCAGTATTCAGGATACAATTTATGGACAAAAATCAGTAGTGTTTCTATATATCAAGAATGAACTATCTGAAAAAGAAATTAAGAAAACCGTTCCAGTTACAATAGCTATATAAAAAAATTCCTAGAAATAAATTTAACAAAAAGATAAAAGATTCCTACACTAAAAACCATAAAACTTTGATAAAAGAAATGTAAGAGAAGACACAAACAAATGAGACACACTCATGAACTGGATGACTACAGTAAAAAATGGCCAAATCTAAATCTACAGATTTAATGCGATCTCGACCGAAATACCAAAGACATTCTTCAAAGAAATGGAAGATACAATCCTGAAATTCATATGGAACCACACAGGACCCTGAAAAGCCAAAGCAATCCTGAATAAAAAGAACAAAGGTAAAGGCATCATATTAACTGACTTCAAAACACTATACAACAGTATGGTACTGACACAAAAACAGACATATAGATCGACAGAACACAAGAGACATCTCAGAAATAAACTTACACATCTACAGCCAACTGATTTTTTTTTTTTTTGCTGGGGCTGGGTTTGAACCCACTACCTCTGGCATATGGGGCCAGCCCCCTACTCCTTTGAGACACAGGCACCGCCCTAAATAACTGATTTTTGACAAAGGTTCCAAGAACACACATTGGGGAAATGACAGTGTCTGCAGTAAATGTTGCTGGGAAAACTGGATATCCACATGCAGAAAAATAATGCTAGACCCTGACCTCTCACTACATAGAAAAATCAACTCAGATGGATTAAAGACTTAAATGTAAAACTCAAATGAAGATACTATTAGAAGGGGAAATGCTTCATGGCACTGGCCTGGGGAAGAATTTTTTACATAATACCTCAAAGGACAAGCAACAAAAGTAAAAACACACAAATGGTAGGCTCGGCGCCTGTGGCTCAAGCGGCTAAGGTGCCAGCCACATACACCTAAGGTGGGGGGTTCGAATCCCCAGCCCAGGCCCGCCAAACAACGATGGCTGCAACTAAAAAAAAAAAAAAAACCACACACAAATGGAACTACATCAAACTAAAAAGCTTTTTTTTTTTTTTTTAAATTTGGGAGATCTCAAAAAGCTTCACACAGCAAAGAAAACTATCAACAAAGTGAAAAGACAGCAACCTAGAGAATGCGAGAAAATATTTGCAAACTATACATCTGACAAAGGGTTAATATCTAGGTATATTAGGAACATAAACTATTCAATAGCAAAGACCTAACTAAATAACCCAATTTAAAAATGGGCAAAAGATCTAAATAGATATTTCTCAAAAGAAGACATGCAAATGCCCAATAGGTATATGAAAAATTCTCAACATACTAATTGCTATGGATTGGATATGGTTTACTTGGCCCTGCCAAGTCTCATGATGAAATTTCATCTCCAGTGTTGGAGGTGGGGCCTGGTGGAAGGTGTTTGTATCATGGAGGTAGGTCCCTCCTGAATGGCTTGGTGCCATTCTTGAAGGGGTGAGTGAGTTTTCACTCTTAGTTCCCTCAAGCACTAGTTGTTGAAAAAGCCTGGCACCTATTCCTCCCTCCTTCTGCTTCCTCTCTGACCAGGCGATCTCCCCTTCCCCTTCCACCATGGGTCAAAGCTTCCTGAGACCCTCACCAGCCGCAGATGCTGATGTGCTTCTTCTACAGCTTGCAGAACCATGAGCCAAATAACCCTCTTTTCTTTATAAATTAGCTTCAGATAGTCTGTCATAACACAGATTATGACACTAATCATCAAGGAATACAAATGAAAACCACAATGAGAGACCACCTTATTCCAATCAGAATGCCGATTATCAAAAAGACAAAAGAAAAAACAAGTGTTGGCAAGGATGTGAAGAAAAGGGAACATTCATACACTGTTGGTGGGATTGTAAACTATCACAGCCATTATGGAAAATGGCATAGAGAGTCCTCAAAATATTAAAAATAGAACTAGTATATTATCTACTAATCTCACTACTGGATATATACCCAAAATAAATTAGATCAGTACATCACAGAGATATCTGCACTCCCATGTTTACTGAGTCACTATTTATAATGACCAAATGTCCAACAACTGAAGAATGGATTAATAAAATGTGTATATACACAATGAAATACTAGGCAGCCATCCAAAGAATAAATTCCTGTCATTTTTGACAATCAGGACGAACCTGGAAGATATGTTAAGTGAAATAAGACAGGCACAGAAAGACAAATATCACATGATACTACTCATACATAGAATTAAAGAAAAGAAAAGTTGGTATCATAGAGGCTGAGAATGTAACAGTGGTTACTGGAGACTGGGGAGGGAAAGGGGCTGGGAGACGGGGTAAGGTTGGACAGTGGATACAAGTTACAATTAGATAGAAAGAATAAATTCTAGTGTTCATTTGTGCATGAGGGTGACTATGGTTAACAGTAAAATATTGTATATTAAAAATCAGGAAAAAAGGCTTTGACAGTCCTCATCACAAAGAAATGATAAATACAGAGGTGGCAGATATACTAACTATCCCATGTGGGTCATCATTCAATATAGATATGTATCAAAACATCAAACTGTATCCCATAAATATATGTAATTACACTGTGTCAATTTAAAGAGTAATAATTTTTTAAAAAAGATTATATGTTATTCTGGCTCTGTGTCTATAGCATAGCGGTTATGGCACCAGCCACATACACGGAGGCTGGGGGGTTCAAATCTGGCCTGGGCCAGCTAAACGACAACTGCAACAAAAAATAGCTGGGCATTGTAGTGGGCGCCTATACTCCCAGTTACTTGGGAGGCTGAGGCAAGAGAATCACATAAGGCCAAGAATTTGAGGTTGCTGTGAGCTGTGATGCTATAGCACTCTACTGAGGGTGACATAGTGACACTCTGTCTCCAAAAAAAAAAAAAAGAAAAAGATTATACATTATTCATCTGATCACAAGTTTAGCTACTGGAAAGCTGGAGCAGGGAGCTTTCTGTCTCAGCTTACAGAGAAACTAGTAAATCAGGGCCTTAACTGACCAACCACTACACCCAGGAAAGAATTTATACATGGGCTTCGGAGCATGAAGTTTGAAGTCCTAATCTGTCATTTACTATCTACCTGGTCCTGAACAAATTGTACCACTTTTCTAAACCTTAGTTTTCTTATTACAAAATGAGTGATAAAATATCTACCTCACAGAGTTTAATTTAAGCATTAATAATTACTTGCAAAAAGTATGCACAAGAGTGTATGGATGCATGCAAACGTGTCTGCATATCAAGAAGAGGGTGTGCATGTGTGTGTAAATGTGTGTGTGTATGACTAGAAGTACCTAGCGCAGTAGCTCTGGAATGTGATAAATACATGTAGTAGCAATTATTATTATTATTATTTTTGGTCAGGGCTGGGTTTGAACCCGCCAACTCTGGCATATGGGGCCAGCGTCCTACCCCTTTGAGTCATAGGTACCACTCCTATTATTATTATTAACAGCAAAACTAGATTATTAATTACTTCTGAATACAACCATAATTGCTTATGTAATTTCGAGCACATAACATTAAAATTATAACATGAAGCATATAACTGAAGTCATTCAAGTAGAAATCCTTTCAATGTACCATTTTTTATTCATACTTTACATAGATGATTTTCAAATTCTATTTTCACAAAACTAAAAATTACAAATGATTCTGCTTAAAGGATTACGTATCTAAACTAACTACTTAGTTGTAGGGATGTATCATTAAATTATTTCTCTAAAAGATCTCCCACCTCCCCCAACCAGGGTAATTGCAGATGCCAGTAAAAGCTGAACAAAAGTTATGATGGATGATTGAATTATTTTGAATTTTAAAATATCCACAAAACAAAAGAAAATTATGAAATGTGAATTCAGACTTAGCGCCTATAGCTCAGAGGCTAGGATACCAGCCACATACACAGGGGTTGGCAGGTTGGAACCTGGCCTGGGCCTGCCAAGCAACATTGACAACTACAGTAACAATAACAACAAAATTTAGCTGGGTGTCGTGGCAGATGCCTGTAGTCCCAACTACGTGGGAGGCTGAGGCAAGAGAAATGCTTAAACCCAAGAGTTGGAGGTTTCTGTGAGCTGTGATGCCACAGCACTCTACCTAGGGTGACAGTGAGACTCTGTCTCAAAATAAAAAACAAAAAAAACACAAGACAATAGGAAAGCATTAGGCTAAAAAGGCAGAAAATTGAGATCCAAATCTTACTCTACAACTTTCTATCTACATAAACTAGATAATTTACTTAAATCCTCAGAGCCTCAGTTTTCTCATCTGGCAAAATGATATACTGTCATCTATCTTGCAGGATTACAATGAAGAGAAATGAGAAAATGTATATAAAGAGCCCCCATTAAAATTCCTGGGATAGGCTTGCACCTGTAGCACAGTGGTTACAGCACTGGCCACCGAGACTGGCAGGTTCGAACCCACCCTGGGCCAGCTAAACAACGACAACTGCAACAAAAAATAGCTGAGCATTGTGGCAGGCACCACGGTAGTCCCAGCTACTTAGGAAGCTGAGGCAAGAGAATCACTTCAGCCCAAGAGTTGGAGATTGCTGTAAGCCATAATACCACAGCACTCTACCAAGGGTGACATAATAAGACTCTGTCT